TTTTTATTGCAAATATATATTTGCTTCATCGACAATCATACAGAAGAATGTGATACGACGAAAGGCCTGGCCTTCCTTGAAATTCACATTCGCCCTGTGACCCAAGGGCACTCGAGCGGTTAACGTGTCGAGCTCCCATTCTGTCATGGTTCGACTCCCGCTGGGGGTGTTGATAAGACCAGTTGATGCCGGGTCGAAACTGCAGTCTACTCCAGCCGGGATGAGAACAACTCTTGGGAAAGCAAGGCTATGTGAAATTCAATGGAAAGACAGAATTGTGGTACAATTCTATTACCAGTCCTTCATCACCTTAAGCGAAATTGGGTGAATACATCTCATATTACTGATTTTCTGGTAGTCTCGAAGAATACTTAAATGCGAAAAATTAAATATATTTTAGCATGACACTCCATTTCGAAGGGAAAGTTGGTTGGAGGGAATTCGTGATGTGGTCTCGTCGGAAGTCGAAGAAGGATTACTGGAGCAGGAAGACTGTTTGTTGTATTGTGTGAAGAAGTCCTCGGCTCACCGTCCTGCAACCCCGATGAAACTGTGCCAAGCTTTCGCCTGTACCGTTACAGACATCATCAGATCAGACATCTATACTTGACGAACTGGAGCAAAAATATGTTAAAGCACCTTTTTTCTCGGTTTAGTATATTTTTTACTCTATTTCGTAGAGTATGAAATCTTGCTCTGATGGTGTCTGTCACGATGTTACAGACGAAAGCTTAGCACAGTTTCATCGCAGTCGCAAGACGGTGAGCCGAGGACTTCTTCACACAATACAACAAACAGTCTTCCTACTACAGCAAGCCTCGTTCGGTTTCCGGCGAGACCACATAACCAATTGCGTCCAACCAACTTTCACCTTTGAAATGCAGTCATACCGCCAGTCTAGCACGCCTAAAGCTGGAATCAAGGTCAGATGATGCTTTCAGAAAGGATGAATGACAAATCATAGTAAACCGAATATTCAGTTCATATTCAACCAAATTAATAAATTCGGTATGAACTCGACGTTAATCTGACAAGCCTCAAAAGTCTTTTTCTCCATTTTGGGGCCACTCGAGGCCTGTGACAGAATTCAAAATTTGCAAACGGAATATATTCGGCTCTTTGAGACTTGTTTTTGTGCATCACTAAGCATGAAGTATTGAAGAGTAGACATGTTTGTTGCATTAAACTTTCCTTTGCCATGCATTTCAAAAGGGTGATCTCATCTTCCTACTAGACTATATTCCCGACTTCTGACGGCCTTCGAACCCACGACAAATCGTGTTTCACACCATGCGACTAAACAAAACCTGTTTCATCGAAGGTAGGAAGACCAAGCTGGTGTGGCTTTTTGTGTGGTCGCAGTCTCCTTTCGTTGTATAGAAGTTGTTTGACCTAGTTTTCACAACTTAATCATGTTGGTAGGAAGACTTAGAGGAACGCACCTTGTCCGGAGGCATCATCATTTCCAGAATAAGACCGTAGACGTGGTACATTTCGAGACATTTCGCCGGCATCGTAGTCGGCATCGTCAGTGAGTCTCGCCATTCTTAGCACCATTCAACAACTCGTCTTGTCTCTTTAACGAGTTGTTGTCTGGTGCTAAGTATGGCGAGACTCACTGACGATGCCGGCGAAATGTCTGGGAATGTACCACGTCTACGGTCTTATTCTGGAAATGATGATGCCTCTGGACGAGGTGCGTTCTGCTGAGTCTTCCTACCAATATGACCGAATTGCGAAAACAAGGTCAAACAATTTCTATAAAACCTGTTTAAGTTCAATTTATTTTATGCGGCATTTGGCATCAACATGCAATTGATTGTGATGGTAGTAACACTTTTTATACGCATTTTTCAGCCTCGGAAGTGAATTTGATGCTTGCTGAAAGTGCTGAAGAGGAGATGAAATATGCCTAATGCATGATGACTGTAATTAACTGCGAAACTTAAGCCTTCTCTTCATTTTCTCGTGGGAATCGCAGAAACAGTGTGAAATGGATGCACCTCTTCAATAATCTAGCTTCTGATATTCTCTAAACAAAAATTCTACCGACCACAGAATCACTTCATGCTTGCCGATCGAAACGGCGGTTCCTACCTTCTGTCAAAAAATAGTTTTTTTTAGTTTTTTTGCCTCAGCCTCTGTCTGATATCTCATCTCCCATGAGTGGAGCTAAGCTGCTACTCGAACAGGCTTTTGCCACGCATCGCGCAAGTACAAACAACAAGCATACACACGCACACGCACACACACACATACATGAGGTATCAATCCACTTGCAATTGCTTATTTTCTTATTATTAGTCTCTTGCTCAAGAGGTCTTCGCTCGCAGTTCTGCCAAGGAATGATCCGTCTGCAAAAGCTACATTTCAGAAGTTCATGACGATAGTCACTTTGTTCCACATGAGCCTAGACAAAAGGTCGGGATGTCATTTGAACCGCATGACATGTGAAAAAGCAGATATAATCTTTAATGCAGTCCTTCCGAAGTGTGTTTTCACGCGATTACATCGTCGAATCATGCTTCATTAAAGTCGAGTAGAAGCGGCTCCTCTCGACTCGTCGACATGCCTTCAACTCGACATTCAGGCCATCTCAACGAATGCTCTCTCTTGTCCTGAAGGTGCATTTCCCCTCAGCCAGGTGTGTGTGTGCATATATGTATATATATGTGTGTTTGTGTGTGTGTGCATCACATGTATCATCAGTATTGTCTTTCTCTCAACAACCGATGGCCGACACTCGAGGTCGGTGTCAGAAGTTCGGGCTTGCCTGCCAAAGACCGGTTTTCACTAAACTCCTGCACACTCGGCCACGAGAAGATGACGACCTCGATCGCGCAGGGTGGCCGAGGCAGTGGTACTGGGGTGGGTCTACGGAGGAGTGGGGGGGAGCGGGGGAGCCGGCTTGTGCACTTGCCTCTGTTAGGTCGTCTTCAGTGGATTCTCACACATGCACAAATGGCCAGGCTGAGTTTGGCACGCGTGGTGAAATTAATTGTGTCCGGCATGTGTTCGACCAAGGCAACGAGCCCGAAAGTGACTGGAAGTGAATCTCGACGACACGAACAAGAAGCAATTGTTTCGTGAAACCGTCGCCTCATGTGTTCGTGTGTGTCCGCGAGGTGTGCGCTTGCTTGTGTCTGAACGCGCACTTGTGCCGGTGTGCAATAAAGTCTGCAAAACGAAATGCCCCAAACGGAAGTGTGCTGTGGGCCGAGATTTTTATTAAAATATGCAAAGCTGCGCATATGGCAGGTAATAGAAGATGTAATTAAGCAGCTTCGGCCAGTCCTGCTTTTTACTTTCCCTCTTCGACCCCTGCATTGCGTTCTCGGACGTCGCCTCGTCTTTCAGCGCAAATTACCTCTTTTCCTGCCTTGACGCCTCCTTCATTGCCCTCTCTCGCGCCCAAGAGCGCAGCTGGTCGGCGTTCAAGGTTTGGTCGTTGCACATTTCCGGTTCACCGGCAAGACGGTCTTCGGATCAGCTCGGCTCTCACCTACAACAGCCCAAGTGATCCCGATTTTCGGCGCAAACCAATGTGCTCAACAGGAAACAATAAAAGGCATTATCTGCCATCTTGACCGTGACAACAGTAGTATTGTGAGTAGTAGATGGGACGGGCCACTCTCATCGAAATACGATGAAGGAGTGCTTATTTTATATTCTATAATTTTGTTAACATTAATGTCGATGCTGCTCCTGAGGTATCACTGTTCCTGTTGGTTCGACCTTGTCTTCGCAACTTGGACGGAGTGTCGGGGAGACCTAGTCTCGTCTCCTCTGCCATAGAATTAGTGCTTTCCAGCCTTGAAGCATTAGTAAATTCCCAAATGTTTTGTCGCCATCGTAGACACAGATACAATTTATGCAAGTGACAAATGAAGGCAATCCTCTTGACTGATTTTCGGTTCAACCGTTTTGGCAGCACTCGTCTTCCCTATTTTTCGTTCCACCTTCTAGTGCTGCATCTCTTTCTCTCAACCCCATTTCATATAACTCATCCACTTATTCACACAATTCTGTGCTCTCGTTTCGCTACAAGTGGGTTTAGTGAAGCGTAATCATCTTCACCACCGGTACCAGCTGTCGGTGGAGGAAACGAGGGCATAGATTTGTGTGAATAAGTGATGGGCCATATAAAGTGGGGTTAAGAAAAAAAGAGATGTCGCACTATAAGTTAGAACAAAAAATAGGTGTGACGAGTGTTGCCACAACGATTGAACAAAAAGTCGGTCAAGGAGATTGCCTTCACTTGTCACTTGTATAACTTGTAACTGTGGCGATAAAACGTTTGGGAATTTACAAATGGTACGAGGCTGGAAATCACAAGTTCTATAGCAGAGAAGACACGAATAGGTACGTTCCACAAGGTCTCCCTGACACTTGGACCAAGTTGCAAAATCAAGGTTGAACCAACGCGAACAAACAGAAGGATACACCATCTTGGTCTTTATGTCTACGTTATAATCTTTCGGTTTAAGTGTAATCTACAGTTTTGTGATGATGATTTTCTGTTACTTTACCTGCTGAGACCTGGAGAATGTGGAAACTGCAGTCTATAAGGGATAAGAAAACCTTTTGGAAAGCAACTTATTTTTCAGTCCTATCAACCGATCTAAAACGAGTAAATTTAGTCTAAGAGGAAGATGACTTGAATTTCAGTTGCAGTAAAAGTGTGTTATAAAGACATTCTAATTTCCAACTCACTGGAAGACGACAGAAAATTTCTCTTTGCCTGAGTTCAATTAGTTCTACTGAGACGTTTTGGTTGGCGCATTCCTCGAGACGCTCTTGTTCATTTGGAGTGAAAGCGTCTTCGCTTCTTTCTGTTGTATGACACAATAAGGAAGTAGTCTTATGTCTATCTCTTGCTTACAAAGTGTTACTAAAACTAGCCTGTTTGCCGTATTTTGCTTCATATGCTCATAAAACAATTCATCTAAAGGCAAGTACAAAAATACTTGGTCCACTACTTATCACATATGTCTAGATTGATAT